CACCCGCGAAAACCTAAGAAAAATATATATATATATATATATATATATATAATATCTCCATTAAAAGAAACAAAATGTCCTTTTGAATGTCAGTTGATGTGCAATTGTATTCATTCATGACATACTGCCCCATATTTTACTCCATGGGTAGGCTACACATTGACCAAATGCAACCCCAAGCACCCCTTTTATAGATCCCAGAGTTCCTACCATATGAATCAGCTCTAAAGCACCTATTTCATCTCCTATCTCAATTTATCAGCCTTATTTTTTCTGGTTTTCAAGCCTATGACATTATGTTCCTTTAAGGGCAAAGAAATGTACAACAAGAAAACTACTCTATGGATCATTGAAAACAAAACCCTGTGTGCTTAGCCCTTCTTTCCAACCAGTATCTCAACCACCTTCAGAGTACTTGTCCAACTGACCCTTCCCTCTCTCTCCTCCCTTTTTTTTACAGACAATTTTTAAAGGCCAAGATGCTTTGAAGTCACTGTCAGTGTAACAAGAAAAAATAATCTCCCCCCCCCCCAGGCTAAAGAACAACTATGGAGATTCTCAGTCATCCAGGTCATGGTTGTCCCAAAGGTGCTTTTTCAAGAGGCAACTGGACTTGTTTTTCTATGAAGATATTTTGCTTCTCATCCAAGAAGCTTCTTCAGCTCTGACTGGATGGTGGGGAATGGAAGGATCTATATTCCTTGCAGACAGCTGGTCATTTGCATTCTTTTAGAGAGTCATTGAGTCCACTTGGAGGTTTATCTGGGTCTTCAGGATCACCCGAGTAGTGCAAATGGGTGTGGAGCCTTCTTGGAACTGCTCAAAGAACTGTGTTGCAGGAATATCTGAAAAGCTCAGGAGGATCTTCCGTCAACACAACATATGTGCACAATTTAAACTCAATAATACATTAAGGCAGAAGCTTGTCCATCCCAAGGATAAAACACCCAGACACTGTAGTATATGCAGTACAATGCAGTGAGACATGTGCAGATCTGTACAATGGGGAAACAAAACAACCACTTCATAAACGTATGGCACAATATAGGAGAACAAACCTATCAGGACAAGATTCAGGAGTCCATCTGCATTTAAAAGACAAATGCCACTCCTTTGAAAATAGCAAAGTCCACATTTTGGACAGAGAGGACTGCTGGTTTGAAAGAGGGCTTAAAGAGGCCATCTATGTCAAAATTGAACATCCCTCTTTCAATAGATGGGGAGGGATCCGACATCATCTATCTCCAGTCTATAACACAATCCTTTCAGCAGTTCCAAGAAGGCTCCACACCCATTTGCATGACTCGGGTGACCCTGAGGACACAAATAAACCTCCAAGTGGCCTCAATGACTCTCTAAAAGAATGCAAATGACCAGCTGTCTGCAAGGAGTATAAATCATTCCATTCCCCACCATCCAGTCAGAGCTGAAGAAGTTTCTTGAATGAGAAGTGAAATGTCTTCATAGAAAAACAAGAAAGTCCAGGTGCCTCATGAAAAAGCACTTTTGGGACAATTTAAGGAACCCTTTCCCACATGCCAGTAGAACGTAGTCAAATCAGAGTAGCAGAGCCTATAAAGCAGAATGGGTGCAGGTCACCTTCCTTTGTTGTCCTGAATTTACTTTTTCCCAAGACTTTTTTTCTACATCTACAGAGTTGGTTTGGACAGGCATCGCATTAAAATATTAGACACATGGAAGACTACACAGTTAGCACAAAGGTGCTTTTTCCAAAAGGCAACTGGACTTTCTTCACCAAGAAAATCCAGTTGGCTTTTGGAAAAGCATTTTGGGACAACCATGACCTGGATGATTGAGAATCTCCACAGACTGCTTTATGTCAAATATTGCCAGATTTGACATAAGATTTGTTAAATTGTATGATTCTTGATTTTGAGTGTAAGGATGTCAACAACTAAACCCGTGAAAAACTAAATATGAGATACTACACTGTTTGTGCATAAGAGTACGGAATGTAGAACAATTTCATAATGCTGGACACTAGCAAAAAGTCTGATTAAGAAAGGTCAATTCTCTATGCATCATGGGACTGCATGTGGGATAAAGGAATTTAGAATAGACAGTGCACATTTATTCTTTTACAGAAGGTTCTCTCTGAAACAGTTTTAATTACTGACTCTAAAAATAAACAAGCGTGCAAAGGGGAATTTAACTGCATATTTGTAAAACTTTGAAATAACAATCTGAAGATTTATTTGCGTCAAATCTAACATGCATTTGATAGATTCATTTACTGTATCAAGAGTTTAAAATCTGCACTGGGCGTAGTTCTTTATAGAAGAAACTACTTGGTTAGACTAATCCTGTATTTTCAAGAACATAGAATTTTAAAACTTTCTTCAAACTCTTTAAAAATTGTTCAAACCCTTCATGAAACTGAACAATTTCTTAAATATTTTCAGGTCTAAAGTTGATAAAGTGTAATTAATATGCACTTTATTATTTATTTATTAAACAAATTTATATAGCCACCCAACTCACACATAGGTGACTTTCATAGAAAGATATAGAATAGACAATCATACCTGTAAAATATATAAATATACAATATACAACTGTGTATATGTTGTGATATAGACAGTATCTTTAAAAGCTGAAAAATCATATTATAAATACAACAGTAGAAGGTAACAACTAATACATGAGTGGAAGTAGAATTACTTGGAGTTAGTTAACATTGCTGTATATTGGTCTTTCTTTAACTTTTCTCTCAGGACCCCTTTTCCACTTGTAAAAATTATGGAGGACTCCAAAAGAGCTTTTGTTTGCATGGGTTATGTTCATCAACATTTAAAATATTAAAAAATTAATATTGGTGCATTTACTGCCACTATCATTTCTCAGATTGTTTGATAGGATTTTAAGGTTATATTATTTTTGAACATAAGCTGGCAAATAATTTTGATTTTAAAGACCCCTAAGAAGGTCTGTGGGCGGAGACAAGAGGGATTCTAGAGCCCCACTTTAAGAAACACTGCTGTATAGCATTGTTGTTTCTACCGTGCAATATTCAATAATAATAATAATAATAATAATAATAATAATAATAATAATAATA